CACGTCAAACAGGTCCGTCACCACCGCCCACCCCAGCAATTAACAGGCGTGGCTGGACTGCCAGGAACCAAACTATGATTGATTTTTCTGTTCAAGTGAGAAAAAGCAGGACCCTCCATTGTGGGTGCCGGTATTAATCCACGTGGGAAAGAGCTGGGACTTCCAAATGGCCACGGGAGTAAGTTACACATCTGAAACCGCAAATTCTCTCAACCTGGATTCTCAGCCACTCGGGAAGCCTCTCTTCCACCGTGTCAGAACCTGTAGCGTGGCTTTGTGTGCGCTATGGAGGAAAATCCAGAAGCTGCAGCGTGAGCAGGAAGCCCAGGAGGTCCCTGCCTCTCATTGTGCAGATGGGAAAACCAGGCCACGGGGCCAAGCCACTGGGCCAAGTTCCCCACGGCGACAGCAACCCTACTGGGAGCCAAGCGGAAGTCTCCTAAGCCTTTTAACACACATCTGTATTAATCTGCCATACATATGATACATATGTGTGTACGTAGTAGAGAGAAGTGGCTTTTTACAACCTAAACACACATATAGGAGTGTTTTAACGAGGCCCTCGGTGAGCATCATTTGCCAGGAGGGGAGGTGTAAGCCACGGGCACAAGGCTCCCTGCAGGCAAAACGAGCAGAGCAAGCTGCTGGGGATGGGTCGCCTGGTGGGTCCCACTGCCCAGGAGGGAGCAATGTGGGCCTGTGGGCAGGGCCCATCCCAGCCTGAGCCCGTTCAGCGCTCAGCTCTGGTCCTGGTTTAACGCCTCACACACTGTTCTTGTGCATTTGACAGCCACCAGCTTGGCGGTGTTTCGTGTAAATAGACCAGGTCACGCTTACGTTTCAAACCCCGCACCATTTCCTTCCTCCAGTCCCCCAACGGCCACTCCTGCTCCCCTCTGTTTGTTCACTGCACACAACTCTCTCCACACACGCACAAGCCCCAGCAAGTCGGGCTTCCTTCGGGTCCTGGAACACCGGGGTGTCTCTGCCTAACCGGCTGCGCCCCTGCACCTTCCCCTGCTGGGCCCCACGTCCTCCAATAGCTGGTCCTTCTTGTCATTCTCTGGCCACCCCATCGAAGGTGGACGGACCTCCTAGCCTCCAGCACGCCGCCACGTGATACTTTCTTCATCACAAGTATCCCTCTAGAACAGCCGTGGCAAACTACAGCCTGCCCGCGGAGCCGAAAGAGCGGAGGGTTCTCTTGCTCTCCCCTCCACTCCTTCACCAGCAGCAGTGTTAACATGTATTAGTTCACACAAACACTCCATCCATGCTTTTGTTCCGGCCCTCCGGCCCAGTTTAAGAACTCATTGTGGCCCTGGAGTCAAAAAGTTTGCCCACCCCTGCTCTAGAATATTTATTTTTGTTGTTACTCCTCACCTGAGGATATTTTCCCATTGATTTCTAGTTAGAGTGGAAGAGAGGGAAGACAGAGAGAAATATCTATGTGAGAGAAAAACATCCATTGGTTGCCTCCAGCACATGCCCCAGCCAGGCCCGGGCCAGGGAAGAGCCTGCAACCAAGGTACGTGCCCTTGACCGGAATTGAACCCGGGACCTTTTGGTCCACAGGCCAATGCTCTATCCACTGAGCCAAACCAGCCAAGGCTAGAATGGATTGATTTGCATGCTTGGCACCAATATTCCCCGAGCTGGACTGTGAGTGCCAAGAGAACAGGGCATGTGCTGTCTTGTCCACTCTCTTATCCTCATGGCCCAGAGGGTGCCTGGCAATGGCTGGTTGCAAAATAGATCATGGCCTCAAAAGTTACTTGGGCTGGAAGAAAAAATCTCTCCAATAGCAAGATCCCAGCTGCAGGTGGGAACGGAGTGAGGGGAGAGGCTGCACCTCTTCGTGCTCAGAGTCTAGAAGGGACTTCTGCACGGGAAAGAGCAGAGAATTAACGCAATGGTACAGTCTTTATGCTGCGCCCACTTATGCTCTCAAACACCCTGCTGAGTGGCACCGCTTGATTTCCAGGCCACTTGCTCGGTTTCTGTTCCATTTCAGAATCAAGGTTGAGCCCGTGGAAGAGCATTCAAACGGTGCTCCAGCAAGTTCAAGTGAGGCACGTGCGTGGCCCTGGCTGCATTATGAAAGGATTTCTCTACTACTCGAGATTCTGGACACGTGTGCACACAGAGCGTTTTCAATTGCATTTGGGATGGCGAAGAGCAATTGTATGGCACTTTGGGGCTCCTGAGAGCCATCCAATGGCTATGAGCTCCATGGACAACAGGGAATGTGGGTTGACAAAGGCTCTTTGAAAACGTGGTCCTGGAACTTCTACATTCCCAGGCCCAGCTGTGGGTCCCCTGTCCTTGACAGTCCTCACGCCCTGGGTCTAACCGGCACAGCGAGAGGCATTTACAGATGAAAGAACCAAAAGAGCACACAGCACGGACTCAGCAGAGGAAGGCCCGGCAGCCGCTGCTGCACTGTCACCTGCCATAACAAGACGGATCTGCAGAGAAATAAAAGGTAATGCAATCCAGAGGCAATAACTTGGGCTTCCTCTGAGAATGTCTGATGTTGTCGACCGGCAAGCCTGCCTCCCTCTCCGGCCTGCCCTGGTGCACAGCAGCCCAAACATGCACGGGCTCCTCTCATGCACGCACTCGCAGAGCAGCACCTCCGCTCCCCCGACTGCCCGGGCATCCTTGGACAGGCCAAAGCCAGCAGGACCCGGATGCTCACGGTGTGGCCAGGAGGCCAGAGCCACTCAGACGTGCCCTGTGTGGACGGGCTGCAGAGACGACCCCATGGCGTCTATTCATCTAGTTGTCTGGTTGCTTGTTTCCAGTCCAATTCAGGGCCCCCAGGTTTCGAGTGAACGGCCCAATTCCGGAATAGAGCGCCAATCACAGAACATGTCGCGGAGTCGTGTTCTGGATTGTCTGTGAGACACCGAACCTTTTGTCTTGGCCCGGTGCGACTGTCACTGGTACATTTTTACTGTCACGTTTTATGAGCATTAACTTCACAGCGAAAATGGCCAGAAGCAAAGGGAGAGGAGGGGGCACCGGCTGGCACGTCCTCTGCCATCATTTCAGAGAAAGTCTCTCCATACGAAAGGATCCTCCAAGGCCGGTGCCATGTAAATAATTCACAAGCGCCAGCTCCGTTCTCTCCTCTGAAATCCTAGTGACATCGTATAAGGGGACTGCCACCTGCCAGCGCGCAGGGCACTGGGTGGCTGGCAGCTTCCGTCTCTGGAAGATGCTATTAGGCCTCGCCAGCCAGTGCCTTGGAGATGATTATAACTTCTGCTCTGCATATCACTGTTACTGACAGGCAAATGCCATCCATCAAACAGCATGACGGATTTAAAAAGAAGGCAGACCTGACAGGGCCGGACGGATGGGCCATTCTTTATGCCGATGACAACAACCAGGGACGCTCACACGCTCCCTCAAGACAGTCGAAACGCGGGCATTTTGTGCCTCGGAAGGGGACACGCCATTCAGCACTGGGTAGTGCTGGCAGTCCGGTCCACAGGAAACAACCCATCTCTCTCCCAGAGCGCCCACCGAGCCCTCAGTCTGTCCGGGGGATGGAAAAGCAAAAGCAACCGCAGCCAGGGGTTCTGACGGCGACCCTTCCATGACGTGAATGGGCGCGGCTCCTTCTCAGTTTTGCTCATCTGTTAGTCTCTAGCCAAATGGAACATATTACTTGTAGCTTGCTGGGATTTATGAATTATTTATAAAAGCGGGTCTCTGACTGCAGACTCTTAAAAGACAACGCACCAGGCCCGCTCACTGTTACCCACAACTGCGCTTCTATCGGGGAGAGCAGGCCGACGTTCCCGTAGCATGTGCCGCCTGTCGGGGGTGAAATAATAGTTGTGGAAATAGCCAGCCTTTAAGATGATTCGGAAGCTATTTATGGCAAGCCTGGATGTATTTTTAAACCAGGCTCCTCTTCTGAGCCAGACTTGGATTCAAGAAAGACGCAGCAGACTGTGCTACCAACATATCTCCCAGCTTGAATACAAACAGTTATTCCCTGCCACGCTGCCCACTAGCTTCTGACTGTGACAAAAGCGGGAATGAGGCTGGTCCCCCTGCGTGAAGGTCTAGCAGGTTCAACCAGGCCATGCCCCTGAGTCTCCCAGGGCCCTGCGTCCTATGTAGGGACAAAGACAGACATGCACACTCGGGGTCAAGCATTCAGTCTCCAGCTCCCAGAGCACATGACCTTGGCTGGCCAAACAGACAAGATATTGCCCACCCTTGCCTGGCCCTGTTTCTGGCACAGGCCCAGTCAGAAGGGTTGTGGGAGGCGCCTGGGTTGGAGGGCATGCAGCGACCGGCCAGCTGTGGTCTTGCCCACACCTCCGGGACAGTGACACGGTTGTTTGGCAAACACCCACCTAGGGAGCCCTGAGCAAGCTCTGGCTGCCCCTATGCAGGAGCCCTGAGCGATGAGGCCTCCACTTGGCCGCCTCCAGAGACACCTGCTCCTCACCCGTCACAAGTCCGACAGCGCCCCTGCCCCCTGACGGGCTCAGCCACAAAGGGTCCCCAACGTCCCTGCCCTGGTTGTCCCATCCCCATCCATCCCCCAAACGTGGTCCAGAGGAAGACCCCGAGGCTGGATGGCACTTCAGGCCACCTCAGGCCATTGTCCTCATCTGGCCTCCTAAAGCCCCCGTGACATGTGCAGAGTGAATAAGAAGCCCCGTGACCCTCGGCACACAGACTATACACCCTTCTTCCCCAAACAGCACAGCCAATGGGAAAGCAGGCAGAAGGCAGTGACCTTACCTTGCTGAAACACGTCTGCCAGGAGGGAGGAGAAACAGGGCAGGAGGGCGGGGAGAGAGAGAGGAGAAAGAAAATTAATAATAATGTTGAACATGACCATGACGATAATCATAGCAAACGTATGCTGACTGCTTAAGCACTCCACGCGTACGTAGTTCCTTTAACTCGGAGGCAGCGGTTAAGAGCTTGGGCTCTGGCATGAAACCGCCCTGGCTTGAATCCTGGCTCGACACTTACTAACTCTGTGGTTGACATTCTCTAAACCACAAGTAGACAAGAGTATCAGGAAGATTAAACAAATAGTGGCTGATGTCTGCAGGGCTCAGAACGCTGCCGTGACGTAGTAAAGGCACGTCTGGTTGTTGAGATTTTTAACACTCTCATTTTCATAGCACCTCTGCAGAGTAAGCTGGGGGATCGTGCTCATTTTACAGCTGGGGCAACTGAGGGTCTGGAAGGCTGAGTAACTCATCCCAAACCACAGACAAGCAAGTGATGGGGCTCAGGAGTGAACCCAAGTCGGTTGGATTCCAGAAACCATCTTCTTAGCCACAACTAAGCTGCCTGGACCGGCTTATCAGTAACAACAAAGCAACAAGGACACAAAGGAGGATAAACTGAGGAAGGGCCTATGAATCTTGAAATCATATAAACAAAGCATGGGTGTCAATTCCCCGCATCATAACTCACAACTAAGACCATGCCTTCCAGTGAAATCCTAGATCAAAGGTGAAAAAAAAAATTTGTTTCAACAAATGCTTGCGAGGCTACCATATGCCAAGCACTGTGTCTGGCACTGGGAACCACACTTCTACAAGAAGCATAAATGAGCAAGCAGTCACTAACACCCCCCTCAGGGGAACCCTCGCTTGACTTCTAACACCTGACACTGGCTTTGGCTATTTTTGAACTTTGTATAAATGGACTGATTCCGTGTGAATTTATTCTGTCTGCCTTCTTTGCTCCACAGGGTGTGGGTCCCCACGCTGTAGTCTGTAGTAGATCATTCATGCTCACCGCTGTATAGTATTCCATTGGTAATGGGATCATCATTTTTTAATTTCATGGAAGCATTTCTGTATTGTTCTAAATGTTAACAATGAACATGTCTTACACATTTATAATCTAAACTTGAAAACAAGTTATTTTCATCTCAAAAACTAAGTAAGAACTGTATCATCAACATCTAAATTTGTTGCCAGCCATCCCCACTAACCCATCAGCTCCTACAAGGTCACGGAGAGCCAACGGCCCATGAATGGTGTGGATGAGATGTGACCAGGTGGGTGAGACAGACGGCACGGACAGAACACCTGTGGGTGCAGTTTTCATTTCAACGGAGCACACGTGACCCCCTAAGGAGCACCACTCCCATTCCATACACCTCCACCCAGGCCAGACCGCAGACTCCCAGTTCCAGGGAGGTGGCTAAAATGCCACCCTTTCTCTCGCACTCGTGAACACCAACTGGGATGTAGAGAAGGCCCGCATTGGTACCTTCACGGGACAACGTTAACTCCGCTCTAATTTATAGGTGCTCTATGTCATTCTCTAACCCCAGTCATTCATCACGAGCCCCAGCAATTCATTATGAGCCACTCCCCTCCCATCCGCGGACACTGCCCAGAGCCTGAGAAGAACCAAGTACAGCTCCCTCAGCAAACCACGGTCATGTGCACCTGCTGCCTCCAACACAGAGTCTGCACCACCCACTTTGACCAGCCTGCTCACTCGCAGGAGCCCTCCTCCCAGCCTTCAAATGTCATAGCCACTGAGAGATTTCCCAGAGCCCACCCCCACGGGGAGGGAAGTCAGCGTCTGGCTCTGTGCTCCCAGAGTAATGTGTGCGCGTTGCAATTACAGCTCCTATTATAATTAGTTATTTATGTGGGCCCTGAGTTCCTGAGGACAGGGGCTAAGTGTCTTCATCACTCTGGCGGCTCCTAACTGCCTGGCGTGGTATGCTCCCACACCAGCGAGAAGGAGAGAGGGCTGGTCTGTCGTAACACCCACCTGGTCCAACCCCCTCATGTTACAGATGAGGAACCTGAGTCCCAGGGACGGGAGAGATTCTCCCCAAGGCCACCCGTGGCGCTAGAGGCTGAGCCAGGACGACACTAAGATTCATTTGACCTTAATGAAGCACGAAAGCCCATCCCTGTTAGCAAAGTACAAATTCGAGATTTATCATGCTCCTCTAATGAAAACAGACAAAAATTTCCAACCCTGGAAACATCATGAAATATGATTAGTCCTTCAAATACGGATCCAGTCTCGACATCTGTCCACAGTCCTCAACCTCCTCTCCGTGGCTTTGACAGAGAGCACGTCCTTCGAAATTCGGTACAGATTTGAATCACTGGAAAGAAGCAGTGAGTGGGCAGGGAGGGAGGAAATTGGGGCAGGGATATAGTGACCTTATTCCTTCCAAATCCACTGGGTATTCCATGTTTTCGCAGGCAAATCTACACAAATACTAGTCATAGCTTCTCCTCAAAAAAAAAAAAACTCTCTTGATTTCCATAGGAGCTATTTTAGATTCCTAAAAGAACCCCTTTTTCAGCTTCATTGACATTTGCACCTTTTTATTCAAATGTAAATTTGAATAAACACTAGTATAAATATTGCAACAATTTTGCCCATGACTTATCTTGTAATTTACACTGTAAATTTATGTCTTTTGTAGTCTGTGGCATAAATCATTTTGTCGTTAGCATCATTTAGCTCTTTGCTCTGTATACTAATGGCTTGGCTTCCTCCTTTAAAATTGGACTTTCCCGACTGAGCCAGCCATCCAGGCTCAAATGACTCATGGAGAGAAGAGCAAAAAATAAGTGAGAAGACAGTAAGTTTTGTGCTGTTTGGCTACATTTTACCCATTCCACTCCCACCCCCCTCACACACACACACACAAGCCTCCAATTGTGGGCCTCACACAATATTAGCCACAAAAATACTCTTTTCTTCACTGGTGTTCATGCCCAACACCCCCATCTCCCAAACCATAGGGACTTTTGATTAAATAAGGTTGTTTATTAAAAACACGTGTAGACCATGTCTCTACCCATTCCACCCCCACCCCCCTCACACACACACACACACACACAAGCCTCCAATTGTGGGCCTCACACAATATTAGCCACAAAAATACTCTTTTCTTCACTGGTGTTCATGCCCAACACCCCCGTCTCCCAAACCATAGGGACCAGTCTTATGAACAAGCCTCACAGTGCAGTGTGATCTTCTTTGAGTCTGACCAGCCCCTAGGAATTACTTGGGAGTCAGTCACACTCTGAGCTAGAGTATCCTCCTTGTTGAGGGCCGCAGCTCTGGTGCTGGGAGGTTAAGTTAAAGAATTTGCAGGAACACGATCCCATCAGTGGTTGTGGGGAATCCCTCGAGAGGAAGACTCAGCGCCATTCGTCTGCTCTCCCCGGAAATGGAACTCACCCGAGTTCAGAGGTGGGAGCCTCCACCCTAACCACAGCCAGGTTGCGCCCAGAGGCCTCCAGGGACACTTGTGCAGAGGAAATGAACTCCTTCGGACAAAGCTCTGCTCTTACTCACTTCCCCAGGGAGAAAACCTCACAGCCCTGTCCTTCAGGGGAACAAAGAAGGCCTGTTCTCCAGCCCCACCCCCAGCCCCTGGAGCCACGCTGGTCCTATAGATAGATGAAAGGCCATGGGTGTCAGTCAGTGACCGCAGATGTGGGAAAGAGAAAGGGGGGAAGAAGGACTTGAGATAAGCCTCTATGTCCAGTTTCTTCAAGGAGGAATGAACATCAAGGATGCCTGCCCCTCCCGCATCCCTGCTGAGAGACTCACACCCCAGAGACGTTTAATGCACGGAGTCCTCCGGAGACAAGGGCCGTAAAAAGACTAGATTATTTATTAGTATTAATACGTGATGGCAATTAGGCCGGGAGATTCCAAAACGCTGCTGATTAAAAACTTTCTGGAGCATTGCTCGTCCACATGGCCAGTGTTTACCTCTATTAAAAATGATTTAACTCCACCGGGTGAACCCCTCTCCTGCGCCCGGGTTAATAATCAGCCGTGCGCAGAGCCACGCGGGTTAAGTGAGTTGGCGCTCCTTTATTTATCTATGGTTTTGTTTTATGAGCAGACCGGGATGGCAATCTTATTGCCCCTTCAGTCTGCTAAGAATAATTTACTATTTCGATGCACAGTCCATAACTATAGTCAGGAACGCTCTCACTATTATTACCATATCACACTTAGCCCACAGCCCGTAGCATTAAAGATAGGCCAAACCATGGAAAGTGTGCCCGACTTCCGTTAAGACGGGAGGAAGCAAAGCTACTGGTGCTCAGACTCTGTAATCATACAC